GTCCGGGTACTCACCTAGCAACTGGAACATCAAAGTACTGGGAATGGTTTTGGAATCACGGACCAAACGCTCGCAGGATACGGTACGCCCAACAACTGGCAAACCGACCAACGAACTCACATCGTCAAGTGTGATGGTCATCTCTCCAACAGGTAAGTGAAATGTGTTGGTAGCTGGCTGCCATCTCTCTACGAAGGCTCTAAGTAGATGGCCGTCCACAGTGTTGTACGATGCCTGTACAACTGACATTAAACCACATCTTTGTACTACCTCTTTAATAAACGGCGCCGGCTCCCAACCTTTCAAAGTTGTTGTGTGATTTCGTATTCGAAATTCTGAGCCGCGCTCCGAACGATCTGGCCCTCCGTTCACAATATGATAAGCAATGTGCTTATCAAATTTTGTGTACAATTCCGGTATCTCGGGACCTAGGACCGGTTCATTGCTCGAATCACCAACTTGTACAGTCGAATGTAGAGCCGGCACCGGATTCGTTGACGAAGAACCCTCTCCAGACTTCTTCTTGGTCGTGGTCTTTTTCTTGGTCGTGACTGCTATGCCCTTGCCTTTATCGGATAATTCCTTCCTCTTTTTACGGTTCGAGACAGTCGGAGGTATACGAGGTTGACGTGGTTCTTCCACTGCAAAATAACACACAAATAAAAATTAATATACATAATATAAACACAAGCAAATAAAAATAGGAAGAAAAAAAAAAAAAAAAAAAAAAAAAAAAAAAAAAAATTCACAGTTCAAATTCGACAGAAACCTGTCGAAATATGGGGTAATTTTCGACAGTTAACTGTCGAAAATTACAAAATCCAAACTCAACATTTTCACCATTTTCGACATCTACATGTCGATTTTGGATGAATTTTCGACAACAACCTGTCGAAAATTCATCGAAATTCGACATGTACAGGTCGAAAATGGAGAACGAAGAACCGACCCACGAATCTCAAATCAATGCTCAAATCGACTGAAATCAGATGCACCCATTACTAATTAACGATCATTCTAACCTAAAACAACCAAATCCTAATTACCCATATCAAACATTCAAATCTTAAATAAATATTAAAGAAAAAAAAAATCGAAACAACTATAACTTACTATTCGAAGACGACGACGGCGGCGACGTTGGGCGGCGTGGGCGGCGTTAGGCGGTGTTTGGCGTCGGCGTCCGGCGGCGGCGATGGTTGGAGCGGCGGCGGCGGCGTCGGGCGGCGTGGACGGAGGGAGGTTGACGGAGGGAGTTTTTTGTGTTTGATTTTTTTTTTCTTTTTTTTTTTTTTTATTTGGTTTTCAAATAGGTAATTTCAAAGAAAAATTAATGTAATTAGTATTTTGTATGAAAGGGTATTTTTGTACTTTTATTTTTATTTTGGTATTAAAGTAAGAAAAAACTTAAAAATATATACTCAATTGTGGTTTTCAACTAGGTAGTATTCAACTAAGCAAAAGTTAGTATTCAAAATAGTTGCCCCCATTAGTTATTGGTGATTTTGTAGCTGCTACACCCGCTGAAATATATACTGGGTGTTCTTAAATTTTTGATTTATATATAATATCACATAGACCCATGTGTATGTGTATTAGTGAATAATTATGTATATAAATCTAAAGTTCAAAGCCAATGCGATGTATTACACTGAGTGTAGCATTTCATAGTTATTTCATATACACTTTTTGGAAATTACAAGAGCTTTTCTATAAGAGTTATTAACAATGTTTTTAGGAGCATATTTAAAACTGACAAACAATATAGTACCAAAATATTCTCCGGAACGACAAATAAAATAGATAGACCGTAACCGAAAATTATTGATATTATATATAGTTATTTTTTTTCCGAAAATCACTAGAGTTGAAACTATGAAAGAAACTAGACCTTTTTACATGAGAAATAGCAAATGAAAGACTTCGACACTCCAACATAGCCCGTATTGTAACAATAAATTTTAATTTTTAATTTATTTTTTAGTAAAATAAATAAGATATAATATATATCATTATTAGTGTATTTTTTGAAAAAATAATGGAATATTTGGAATTAATTTAATTTGGATATTAAATCGGATCAGATATCGAAAATTCTAAATCTTTTTTTATATAATTTCAATTCGAATCCAAAAAATATGAAACATATCGAAAATTAAAATGAAAAAAATTGTTTCAAAATCGGACTTCATTCCAGCTTTCACCCCTAATGAATCCATAGCTGACTGATTCACCTCCTCAAAAATATTTTGTTCCTTGCCTTCCGATCACCCAACAAAACACTACTCGATATTCAAATTGAGAACCATCCAAAATTTGCTTTCACATATATAAAAGTTAGGTGAGAATTTGGATGGATCGTATTGCATTAGTATTTTTGAAAAAAAAAGTTTTTTTTTCAGAAGTAAAAAAATAATTCCAATTATGTTCCCCAAAAAATCGAAAAAAATGGAAATTTTCAAATTGGAAAAAAATATTTAATCAAAAATAATAACAATTCGAATCGAAATCGGTAGATTTTAAAAAGTTCCATTTCTTTAGTAACCTAAAATGTAAAACATATAGCAATACCGATATTATAAGTGTAACGAGCGAAAAATCAATTGAAATTTCCGAAAATTAAGATCGAATCGGAAATCGATATCTTTTAAGTATATTCCAATTTTAATCCTTAAAATTTTGATTTTTTTTTTTTTGAAATTTTCGGAATTCAGAACGAAAAAAGTGACAAAATTTGAATTGGAATCGGCGAAATCGAAAACCCCGTTTCAATTTCTACCCCTAATAAAAATGAATAGACGATTATAAGCAAATTCAAATCACGAAAATCTTTCAAATCCAATAAAACATATGCCTTTCCAAAACAAAACAAAATTATCAAATGTAATTATTGCAGTATTTGATGATAATAAATCCAAGTAAAGATTTGAGAAAGTTCTTGTATGCATCACGTGCTTACTATGTATTGCATCACGTGCCTACCACATCACTCTCTCTATTCCGATTTGGTAACCCACATCAGCAAACGAGAAAACAAAATGAAAGCATTTTTCAGGTAAATATTATTTGTTTACAGTTTTACAACACCAAGTTTTCATTCAATCCTCCTCTAATTTACCTCTATTGAATTTCTCTCTCTTCTCTCTCTCTATTTCTCTCCGATCCATCAACGAAACTGACGAATTGTAAACCCCTTCGGTTAAAACATTCTGTAGTCGAAATTGAGGTACCGCCAATTCATTCTCGCACTTGATTTAGCTCGTGGTACGTTCGAATTTCTATGTGTGTTTTTTTTTTTGGTTAGAATTTTGGATTCCTTTTTCCTTAAATGCAATTGTATCTCGTTCTAGTTTAGTCAGATCGAAGTCTGGTTGGAAAGATTTCTGTTGTTTCTGTAATATATATAGGTTTTTTGATATTGTTGATGATTCCAATTTTTTTTTTTTTTTTGATATTTCTTCAGCTGAATTTGTTTTATTTGGCAAAAAGATATCGTCTTGATTTATTCAGTTTTTGTTATGTAGATTTTGATTGGAGCGGATTGAATTGGGGGTGAAAAGTTCTGTGAAAGTTCGATTTTGTTGAGGATCCGGGTATTTTTTCTATCATTTCTTACAAGGTGAGTGAACTGATGACAACTCCGGGAGGACCTAGACCTAGGCCGGGTAGTTATCCTCCGAATTATAACCCAAATGCAGTTGCTAATAACATGCAAAATCTAAACATCAATCAACCCAATCAGCAGCAATCGAGCAATTTCGGTGGTGGTAGTGCCCCTAGGCCCCCTAACACTACACCGTTCGGGCAACAGCCGCCGCCTTTCACCGGCAGTCGACCTGGCCCTCCCCCGCCCGGCGCCTTTCCGAGGGGGCCTGCACCCCCTAACTTCCCTCCCCAAGCTACATTTCCCCCAAATACAGTGTCTTCTAGACCCACCGGTCCACCACCAGGATCACAGCCTCCTACGTTTGCATCAAGGGGACCTCCACCCCCTGGTGCATTGCCATCATCCATTGGTGGGCCTGTTTCTCCCTCGCCCTCTGGTCCGGGCCCACGAACGGGGCCTTTCTCGTATGCCCCTCCGACGTCCGCTCCGCCCCACATGAGCGGTTCTGGCCCAGTTAGTAACGGGCCACCTGCATATGCCCAAAGTGGACCACGGTTCGCTCCTCCAATGGGTACTAGTATGCAGAGGCCATCAATGGGGCCCCCGCCATCGCTTTCATCCGGGATGTCTTCTCAGCCACCCCAGATGCGGGCTAGCTTTGGAAGTCCTCCACCTGGAGCACCATTTTCTGCGGGGCCACCACAGAACATGCCGCCACCGCCACCTATGGGTTCATCCCCATTTCCAGCTCCAGTTCCAGGCATGCTTCAATCTTCTGGTAATCCTTATGGAACGCAGACATGGCCACCGCAGCAGCCACAACAGGTTAATTTTTTTTTTTAGGATTTTGTTATTTATATAACATTTGAATTATTCTCCGATTTTAGTTAAAGATTTAAGAATCATCAGAAATTTAAGACCTTGTTCCGAAAGTGGTGCCAGTGACTCCCTTCCATACGTTCCTCGCACCATTGACTGTGAATTTAGATTTGGACGTCAGGCTACGGTTTTTGATAGTGTTATGTTATTTTACCCTAACAGCTAGAGAGTTTGCAAGTGGAAATGAATATATTTAGTCGGGGATTAATGATTTGTCTAAGGTTTATCGTTCTAGTATTTCCAGCTTGGAAATGGTGTGAGATCCAGATTTAAGATACTTTCCAATGCTCCTCTTAACATTGATAGAAGTCCCGATCATTTTTGTGATTAATTTAGCCTATGTGCCACTGATATACACATGTGCAGAATAAGTAGTTTTGCATGATACATAAAAGTTTATTCTTATTAAGTTATTTTCAATTATGATTGTTATCATGAGTTTACCATACTGGGTAGAAGTTTGAGTTATCTTTGTTTATGCAATTTGATTCTAGTTCGAAATGATGGTTTAGATGCTCTACGAAGTTCTTTTAATTGTTAGAAGTAAGTGGTGGACATGTATTTTGGGAAGAGGTTAGGGTTATAAGTAGGATCTACAATGATTTTCAGATAACAATATTAAGAAATAAAGGGAAGAAGAAATTGCAAAAGAGGAAGTAGGTAGCAAAAGATTACAACCTACATCTCGTTTGAGATATATCTTTCGTTGTATAATGTTATTGAGATACATCTAGTGGTTCTTAAAATGTTGGAAGAACTTAACTTATTCTGGGCCTCAGTCACACCGATATCCCATATTCAACTCGAATGGCCCCTTCATTTTCACCGAGTATATTTAATATGAAATAGACGACCTTTGCATCTATTAAAACATTATTCGGGGTTGTGTGAATCTTCGTATGTTCACTTAAGCATATTTCTTTGTCATTTGGCTGCCTACTGATCTTGCAACAATCAATTAGTTTTGTGAGTTTTACTACACAATAGCACATTTGGTTTTACATTATAATCTAGTATTGATGTGTAAGTGGCCCCACTTCTCCAATTCAGCAGCAGCCTATGTTTGGAATGCCGCCAGGTGGACCACCGTTTCCAAACCAATCCATGGCTTTGGGTCAAACAGGTCAATCCAAAATCGACCCTAACCAGATTCCGCGCCTTACTTCAAGTTCTGCTGTAATTTTGCACGAAACCCGTCAGGGAAATCAGGCAAACCCTCCTCCGGTAAGTCTACTTATTTGCTTAACTTCTTTTTTCTCTGTTAATAATTTAATATAAGTGAAACAATTCTCACATTAAAAGTTAAGATCTTGTGGCTTTTCCATTACTTATGTGTTTTATCTTCTCCTTGACAAGCCTGCAACAAGTGATTATATAGTCAAAGACACTGGAAATTGCAGTCCACGCTACATTAGATGTACAATAAATCAGGTTAAGTATCGAATCGCATCGTTTTTTTTTTCAACTATTGTATATTTTCCTCATTATTTTCAAATTTTCAGTAAAATATTAATGAACATTAATATGTGACTTTGTTTGTTTTGTTAGATTCCATGTACCCAGGAACTTGTATCTACATCTGCAATGCAGTTGGCTTTGTTGGTGCAGCCTTTAGCTCTTCCACACCCATCTGAGGAGCCCATTCATGTAATCTGAAAGATTCGGATTTCATTTTTTTTGGTGTTATTATGTTCTGATAGCATAAGTATTGAGCATTTTTGTCTGACTTATCGTTAAAGGAAGATTTTCATTCCATGACAAGCCAATTGAAATTTAGATCATATATCTCATATAACATCATGTTTGACTATGAAAACACCCATGCTAAACTAGCTAGTCATGGTCACATGATATTTGTTTCGGTAATTGTATTACTATTGAACCATTTTATGCGACTTATGTTATATGCTTGCTAGGTTGTTGATTTTGGAGAAAGTGGTCCTGTTCGATGTTCTCGTTGCAAAGGTTACGTTAATCCTTTTGTGAAGTTTATTGATCAAGGAAGACGTTTCATTTGTAACTTGTGTGGTAAGAATAACTCTTTTTGTTTATTTTTTTTGCAATAACTTTCTGTGGGGTTATAAAAGCATAGTCCACCAAGTTCAATATCCATGGGGTCGCTTGATTAATATTTGTAGTGAGAAACATGGAAAATACAGACATTGGCATTTGTGTCATCTTTCTTGAAAGCATTCCTCGATCTTGAACTGTTGGTCACATATGCAATCTAAGGTCATTACATTATCGGCCGCTTCTTACAACCTTTTCTTTTTTACAGGATTTACGGATGAAACTCCACGTGACTATCACTGCAACTTAGGTCCAGATGGTCGGCGTAGAGATGCTGATGAAAGGCCTGAGTTATGCAGAGGAACAGTTGAATTTGTTGCTTCTAAGGAATACATGGTTAGTGCCACATGGGAACTAGTTTTGGATCTCAGAAAGAAATTAATATGGATAGAAGTCATTGTTAATATGACATTGGGAATTTTATAATTAATTAGAGCCATACATTAGGCAAAGGGAGCAGTCCATGTGGTTTATTCAAGTATAGGACGGTTTTGTTAAGTACAATTTGACTCGAGCCTCAACTAATTTCCGTATTTGGAGAATACTATCTAGAGTAAATTACAATAAACCCCCTGAAGTATGTCTAAATCACAAATACTTCCCTCGTGTTTGCGAAATTACTATTACCTTTATTTTGGGGGTGAGTTGGGGGTGGATATGACCGTGGGGGGACTTTGCAGCTTAGACAGTATTGGTGTTTTGTATCATTATAAAAACAGTAAATTGTATTTTCTTCCCTAACTCACTTTTAATATAAATGTTACTGTGATTCGCCCTTTTAACTTACTATTTGATGGCACAATGCAGTTGGAACTTTTATTGTGTTCTTGATATGTTCTTATGACAACCCCTTCAAATATAGTAATACATGATACATATTTTGATACAATTGAGTATATCCCCATTTCCATAACATCGAACCTGATTTATTTTCATTTTCCGTGTAGTATTTTATTCTCAAACAAAATTGTAATTAAGTATGCAATGGCTTCTATTAGATGTCATGTTTCACTTGGTATGAACTATGGAAGACTGTGGGGTAGGAAGGAATGAAGGAAGGGGACAAGGGAACATATCAAGTTTCATGAAATCAAATATCTAATATGACGCGTTGATTTTCCTCTATATATACAAGTTCAAATATTGGTAATACTATAAGAGATTCTAAATGAACCATATTACCGGTTTTAATATGATTTGGATTCGAGAATATGCATAGCCAATCTACTTGGTTAACTTTTGTTGGTAATCAGCTATATGTCTCCCCATAACATCCAATTTTGGCATATTTCTCGATTGCATGCATATAATACTCAACCTATTTAAATTCCATTGCATGTGTGTGATATTTCAGGTGCGAGATCCAATGCCTGCTGTATTTTTCTTCCTTATTGACGTATCCATGAATGCCATACAAACTGGTGCAACTGCGGCAGCTTGCAGTGCAATCAACCAAGTCATAGCTGATCTTCCTGTAAGTTTATCTGAGCACTTTCCATCAGGTTAATGATGATTGGTGGATTCGATTCCTCTATTATTTTCTTCCTTAAAGCCAACTTGGCTGGCAGTGTATATAATATACGATGAATTCGTGACTTATCTGAGAAAGAGGAAGATTAACCTGGATTGATGATCTCTTTTCCTTGCAGAAGGCTCCTCAAACAATGGTGGGCATTGCTACATTTGATTCCACCATCCACTTTTATAACCTAAAACGAGAGTTACAGCAGGTTGGTTGAGAATTATCAGTTTTTTGGTGATAAAATTGAACATAGTTGTGTCTCATTCTCTCCTGACTTTCCGTGACGTTAATCAATGTTATGTTTAAGTTTCCCTTGTTTTATATGTACTTTATTGTTGTTTGTTCTGTCTCATTTCAGCCATTGATGCTTATAGTTCCTGATGTACAAGATGTCTACACTCCTCTCCAAAGTGATGTTATTGTTCAACTTGCTGAGGTTGGTAATTGTTTTTTTTTTCTTTCAGCTGTAGGTTTGACACATTTGCAACTTGTTGATTTCCATTTTAATATAATTTTCCTTGGTGTAAAGATTTCAATTTTTTTGGGTGAATGGGTTGGGGTGGCAAAATGATCGGTGATAAGCTATTAATGCATTCGCTTGTGTTACCGAATTTTGGAATGATTAAAAATAACTTTGGTAAATGCAGTGCCGCCAGCATTTAGAGATCTTGCTGGAAAGTATTCCTACAATGTTTCAGAGTAATAGAACTGCTGATTCGTCATTTGGTGCTGCAGTAAAGGTATGGGCGTGATATTTTTTTTTTCTTTTATTCTTTTGTACCTTGTTAACATTGCTCAAATCATTTAGTTGTTGCATAGAATTCACTATGAGGGTAAGAGTTAAATGCATCAAACTGAAAGGACCATGCACAATTAGTGGCTTGATCACATCTCATTCTCACTCAATCAACCATGGAGACACACCACTTCATATAATATTATTTTATCGGAGATTATTTACATTTTCTAATGACCTTGCATATTATGTCTTGATTTATAGTCGGCCAGAATACATGATTTTAATTCCTTGTTGTCTTCTCTCTTGTTTTAGGCTGCTTTCCTGGCAATGAAAAGCACTGGTGGCAAACTTCTTGTTTTTCAATCAGGTAAGCTGCCAAATTATATGACTGTTAAAACTCATGATGTCAAACTAATATTTTTTCTAAGCAACAGAATTTTGAATTTTCGTCCATTAATAATACGCCGAAAAACTTGTTTTGCACATGATTTTTTTTTTCCCTCCCGTCTTGCCGGCTTGTTCAATATTATTTATTTCTGTATATTTGCTACCTTGTGTCATTGAATTTGATCGACTTGTTAGTTTTTTTATGTAACAGTCACTAAACTATACTTGTATTATTGATAATTTATGACATTGCAGTCTTGCCATCAATTGGCATTGGATCCCTTTCTGCGAGAGAAGCGGAGGGTAGAAGCAACATGTCAGCAGCAGAAAAGGTATTGAGTCCTGCATATAAGATTATTATATCACTATGTGCTTGTCTCTCGAGAATTCGTTGTTGATACAGGATACTCTTTGGACAAGTTGTCTCTTGCCTTAATAAGGAAATATCTTCGTTTTTCCTAGTAGGGATCAAAATGTGTTTAGAGCTGTATGATAGGGTTGATACTGTGATTCTCCTGATAGTATCTTTCAAAATTTCAAAATAGTGTTGATTAATTTATAAAAAGGAAAGCGAGCAGCTAATGAATAAGTTCTAATTTTTCAGGCTTGCACTTAAGAATCATTTTCGTGTTGTAAAAATATGATTGAAGTTCAGAAGGCTCTTATTAAGGATAAACTAGGCAGATAAATGCCAATAAATACTAATTTACACAAGGGCTGTATTGTAATTGTGATCTTTAGTTTGATCCTCATGTAACTATAGACCATTGGTTATGTAATGATTATCGTATATAGATTGCTTGTTTGCTGTTAATTCATCAATTAACTTGTTAATCTGTGCTGTTGGTTTTAGCACCTTCATTGGGTAATTATTGTATCCGGTTTTTTTCTGTCTTATCCTTCAGTTTGACTTCTGTGCATCTATAATAGTAATTAAAAAGCCGTAGTTGAGTACCGTAACAAATAGATTGTTCGATTAATTGAATTCATGCTGGCATTTCAGGAGGCTAACAAATTACTCCAACCAGTTGACAAGACTCTAAAAACTATGGCCATTGAATTTGCAGAGTATCAGGTAACATCAAAAGTCTGCAAAATCTTACCATTGTTTATATTCAGGATATGGGTTCAGTTTACCGTCTAATCTTGCTACTTACCATTTCTTGACACTTCCAGGTGTCTGTTGACTTGTTTATTACAACACAATCATATGTAGATATTGCTTCGCTCTCTGTCATCCCGAAAACTACTGGAGGCCAGGTAATGTGAATAAATTCAAGTTCTTGATCGTATAGCATTATGTGTGACCATTGGTAGCAGGATGCGACCCTTGAGCGC